AGGTGGCCCGCGAAGCAGGGCTGCCGGAGGAGTTTCGGCCGAAGGAGGTGCACGCAGTGGTGGTGGACGTGGCAGTGTAGTTGGCTTGGTGGAGGCGCCTCCGATTGGAGCTGTCCGCGGGAGTTCCCCGCGCGTGCGGCCATGGCGAACAGCAGGAACAACGCACCTGGCGGCGGCAGGATCCAGCGTCCCATAGAGGATTTGCCCAGTTCAAGTGAGCCGCGGTCGGAAGAAGTCCGGACGGACGTGGTGGTACGCTCGGCCGAGGCGCTGGTGGTTTGCACCCATGGGAACAGCGACGGTGGACCGAGAGCCGGCCATGGCGGCGGACAACAGCAGTTTTGGCGACATGGCGTGGCTCCGGCCCGGAGTTGTTTGCTATTGTGCGTAGGGGTGAGAACATGCTAGCGGAGATGGTGGGGCACACGGCTCGGCAGTGGTACGGTGGTGCCAATGGTGGGGAACGGTGGTGGTGAGAGCTGAGAGCAGATCGGCGGCTCCGAGCTTGACGTCCAGGCATAGGCACATGCGAGTGCAGGGCGGATTCAACGGTAGGGCGGCGGCAGGGGGGGGGGCTCGAGCCCCCCTACCGATACCGGAGCAGTGGAGCTCCCCCTGGAGCCCTATGAATTTTTAGGCAAAGTTCTATCGTGTAGGTGGGGTTAAGACTTAAGATCAAGCAGCAGTCGGAGGTATGTTGCTGTCGCACTTTTGTTCATCCCCTCCTAAATTTTTTCCTGGATCCACCGCTGTGCGAGTGGACCAGGCACAGGCAGCCGTCGTCCTAGGTCCCAGCCATCGCGAGTACTCCTATATGCATGCGCGTAAACTCGATTGCTCTTGCATGCGCCGTGAGCTCATTGATAGATGATCCATGCACGTACGCACAGTCGCACACAGGGCACTGGTCTCCTGGCAGTGTCCACGGAGGTGAGGGCGTGAGACAGTTGTGGCCGCCGCCGTGCGGACCCAGCGTGGCTAGGCCGTGCGAGGTAGCCACGCGACGTAGGGCATGTGTCGCTCTGCCTATCAGCGTGTCCATGCCCAACCAGGCAGCTGGGTTGAGGTAGAAAGGTGTCTCGACGGAGAAATTCATGGCAACAGCAGCCACCGTGACAAAATGCTATTTAAAGGTAACAGTTCGTTCTTTCGGTGGTATCTTACGTGACGGACGTCTTTCGATGGTATTTTCGAACGTCGTGATCTTTTGATGCTATGAAACCAATTTTCCCAATAATAATCCTACAAGTTAGAAACCTACAAGTTGTGAAAAATTAGCTAGAGATTAGGGAATCCACCGTTAGCTTGGGATTAGGGAATCCGTTGACGTGCGTACAGTGGATTTACGTGGGTTCATGCATAGTACAGAATTAATGAATACAGAACATAATAACTTGCTCGTTACGGTGACGGACACCATTTGTGCTAATAATTTGTTCATCGTTGCATTGTTCTGTTGTTGGTAGATGGCGGCCGGCTTCAGGCCGGCGGTGACGTTTGTGTGCATGCGTGTGGAAGTGGGCATCCTACTGTAGAAAACGGGAAGCTAATTAAGGTCTCGCTTGTTTTGATTCAGAAAATAGCAAGTTTGTGTAGAGGATTTGGCAACAAGCGAATACAAAAGTACTAGTATATATCGTCCATGAACAACGACTGTAGAAGAAACCCCTAAGCCCCCCTTTAGAACGTAGGAATTTTGTAGGAAAAACATGGGATTTTGATTCCTATAGGAATTGGCACCGTAGTGCCCTTTGGTTGGCAGGATTGTGCTATAGGAACTTTGGAGGAAAAAAATCCTTTGGAAGACATTTCACAAGTGAAACATGGGAAACAAAACATCCACTCTGATCTCATTTTTTCATCGCACCGCGCGTAGGATCGAGGTAGAGAGATGATTTGACTGAAGGAACACATTAAATGATACGGATGGGATACAATAGTGTAGTACTAGCTCACATGTAATTACTTCGCGTACCTCAAGAAGACAGTACATGCACTGTTGTTTCCTGCATTTTTTCTACACTCATTCGAACACCCATTCCAATAAAATTCCACATTTTCCATTCCTCTATTTTCCATATGCATTCCTATCTTGTTCCTATGCTTTTCCTATTCCTGTATTTTTTGATCCTACCTTTCAAACGAGCCCTAAAAGTTGGAGCAAACAAGGGAAGCGTTTAGTTCGGCAAAGTTTGCAAATAGTGCACGATTCTTCACTGTAGCATTTCGTTTATATTTGTGAATTATTGTCCAAACATTAACTAATTAGGCTCAAAAGATTCGTCTCGCAAAGTTAAAGCAAACTGTGCAATTAGTTTTTGATTTCGTCTACATTTAGTACTCCATGCATGTACCGCAAGTTTGATGTGATGAGAAATTTTCTTTTTGTATAATACATTTTTTGAGAACTAAAAAGGGCAAGGAGTGGAATATGCTGGCTTATGAGTGCAGTGCAGCAGGACTGAGGGATCATCAGGACCGGCCGGGACCAGGATCCACTCGTTATAGTGCAGCCTTCTTTTCAGACAATGCCGAGTGATTGGTGGAGTGGATAAGCTCTCCGTAAGAAAGGCTGAGCAGCAAGCATTCACGTGGTTGTTTTTGCTGTTGAAAAGCGCCCTTTCTTTTCACTTTTTCCCAGCTTTCCCTCAGTTGCCAAACAAGCGACGACCATGGTCCCTTTTGTTTTGCATTTTGCACAAGAAACTGTAGTCGTTTTTTTCTTAGTTAATATACTCCATCTGTCCACAAAAAATGTAATTCTCGTTTTTCGAGAAGTCAAGACGTTTGAACTTTGACTAAGTTTATATAAAAAAGTGCAAACATTTATGATACAAAGTAAGTATCATTAGATTAGTTATAGAATATATTGAAGACATAAATGCTAATAATATTTGGTATAAACTTATTCAAACTTGAGCTTTTTTTTTTGACCGGCACGTATCCTATAAATATATATTTCTTTTGGGACGGAGGTAGTACTTTTATACTGTACTCTTTAGAAAATGTGTGTTTGGTGTATATGCTTCAATATAATAATGGTCTAAACTAAACACCTTCATTTCTAGCAGAAAAAGTTCTTAATGAACTGTCTTTTTATAGTCTTGCTGCTGTTTGCGGCACTGCTCTTTCTTGTGCAGAAAAAAAGTGCTCCAATCCTAAAAGTAACTGTTTGCTGTGTGAATAGCAAATTACAGCACTAACTTCTCTGAAGTTTGTATGAATTGCAATTAACATGGATGTGCCCCCAACTTCTCTGAAATTGGATGATGTCTTGGATATATACATTACCTGGGAAAGAAAACCCTTGGAGAAAGGGGACAATTCATACAAGGCCAGAACACATTACTGAGTGCTGCTGCTACATGTACCTTAATATATATTTGAGAAAAATCTTGTACGATTATATCCGGATGAAATCATTGCCCATTTGTACCTTAATATATTACTATTTTGTTTGTTTCCCAATTTTTAGTTCCAAAGAAGAGATTAAAATACACGGCAAGTCTGGAAACTTGCCTGGATTTGCCCTGATGACCTAACCCCTAAGGACACTAATGGCATGTTTGGTTTACCGGTTGGTTCATGCAGCGCGGGTCGGTTCCACATGAGTCCATCCGGTGAATTTTTGCGGAACCAAATCACTTCTAAGAAACTGATTTCTTGGCTAGTAATGCCGTTCTGGAATTGGTCTATCATGACTGACCTAATTGAAAATGAATCCCCATTCTTGAGTTTTTTTAGTAATCGGTTAGTTTCTATTTCTAGATAACTAAATTTTCTAAAAGATAGAAGAACCAATCGGTTCGGTTTGGTTAGACCGAATGCCCACCCCTATCACTAATCAGGTTACATGAGCTTTGTTGAAGTTATTGTAGACCGAATGGTAAAAATGAGGGACAAAAAAAAAGTAGAGCGAGTGAAGGAAGTTGGTGGTGAGAGATGATGGTCGGAGAGAGAAATTTTCACTCTTTAATATTAGGTAGGTACAGATATAGATAGATATGCTCTTTAATATTAGGTATAGATATAGATATAGATATAGATATAGGCTAGCATAAGAACGAGGAACACTAGAAAAGTAGAGTGAGTGACGGAGGTTGGGGTGAGAGATGATGGACCGATATAAAAAAATTTCACTCTTTAATATTATAGATAGATAGATAGATAGATAGAGATAGACAGATTAACTTGAGGTACATTAGCGAGCATTACGGGGAGCTTCAATCTGATTTCGCCAAGCTGAGCAGTGAGATTTTTATTAGAATTTATATATAGCTCTAGTTATTAGAATGTTTATCTGGGTGTAGCTCTAGAGAGCATGCCATCAATGCTGTACATTGTTCGATTTACTCATTGAATAAAACAGGCAACCTCCTTTTCTCAAAAAAAAATCATGACAAAGGAGTCGTTGATCGACTACAGAAGTCATACCATCACGTAATACCCTGTGGAGCGAGGAAGACATAAAAGAATAAATGAATGATAACTAGATCAGCATCAGCCTACCCTTACTGAAAAAGAAAATACTCCACCAACGTAGCTACCCATAAAAGATCCTTGTTTTCTCAAAAAAAAAAGATCCTTATTCCATTAGATTTTTTTTCTAACACAAGCAGGTAAAGAGCACCAAAATATTTGGATATTCCAAAAACGCTATGTACCATCCACTGCGAGAGTATGTTCAATCCTCTTAATTCACAACCAACGCAAAATGGCCTTTTGATCCCATGTAGGTTGGGCTGGGGTAGACTAGAGATGAAACCACACAAATCACACAAATAGAGGGCAAAAATTTAATAAAAAGGTATTAGGAATAGTAATAGAAGTAATAAGCACATAGAACTGATAATATTTTTCCTTGCCTCCATATTAAGGTACGGATGATCAAGGTTCAACTACTCTAGTCCATTTCTAATTTTTCAAACCCTAGCTGTAGGGAAGAAAAGTAGCCAATGAATCAGTATAGCCATTGTACCTGAAACCTCTAAATTATTAGTTCAAATCAACTCATTGCAACTTTCGACCTTCACTACAAGCTCAGACAACCTGTTTTCAACGAAATCTGCCAAGAGGGCATCTCCAGAATGCACAAGGAACGCTAGATTGTCTGTAAGCTCCAATGATGGCTTATGAGGATACCCATTTGCAGAACTAGCACTGCTCTTGGAACTCGAAGCAATGTCATAGCTCCCATCTGCTTGCCGTGCGAGCCCTATGCGCACAAATAACAATTCCTCCATCTCCATCAGCCTGCTGGCGCTCTCCCTGTGCACCTCGCGCAGTGACACCACAATATTCAGTAGGAAGTATGTATTCATCCTCCATTTCACTTCCAAGTATCTGTTTCTCAATTTTACGCCGGTCAAGTAGGTCCTTAAAGAGTCATGAAATTGCAGCAATGGCATCTTTGGCCTCTGCCAGTGATTCAGAGAAGACTGAGATGATCCAGACAGCAGCGGCACATACCAGCGGTGACTTGACATGGCGGAGCGTCCTTAGAAGACCTTTCAGATCGCCCCACCCCTCCCACCGAGCTCCCATCCTGACACCTCCCATCCCTTCTCCAACATCGGTGCTGAGCTCCCATCTCGACTCCTCGCCCTTCACATCTCAACGTACACTAGTGCCAAAGGCGACTTCTCCACTAAAGTGGGCGGTGGCGACGGCCGTGCGCGTACCCGCAGTGGTTCTACGTACACGGCGGCAGGGCAGCACACACGTAAAAGCTTGGGCAGCCTCGGGCAATGACGGACGGCCTGGCCCGGCAAAGCCCAGGCCTTAAAGGGTCATGCCTGGGCCGTAGGTGCAGCCCGTGGGCAGGCACAACATGGCCCGATGAGCTAGCATGCTGTGACGGCCCGACCCCCATCGGGTCTGCCGGCATCAGGCCGTGCCGTGCCGGGCCAGATGGCCCATTTGGCCATCCATCGCTGGACCCAAAGTGTTGCAGAATATGTTTAAAACTAGTCGAAAGGATAGACAAAATGGTCAATGCAAAGTGCGTGCATTTGATCCTTGTAGGCTTGTACTACAGGCACACCATCCCAGACAGCTACAGGGGCACGAGTCACTGTTAAGATTGAAATCGATCAAGAGCATATTCATTGGTTTCACCCCACATCTCTGTTGGAGTTCTCAAACCTGAACATACTACAGACGATGATGATAGTTTGGGATGAAAAGATCCATTTTGATATTGTATCATATGATCTTTTCCTCCAGTATATCTCCATGCAGACTCCGGTGGTGGATGATGTGTTACAACCTGGTAATAAGCGTCATGTGTTTATACAGCTCGCGCCTTAGTAACTTGCCTGATGGCAACCGTGGTATTGAATCAACGAAACAAACTTTACGTATCTTCTTGTAAGGGGCAACCTAATGAAAGTTGATTTAATTAGCATATATGTACATATATAAAAATTGTATGTAAGCTGATAGTTAGTGCAATGCAGTTAGTGCAATTGCAAAGTGTAATCAAGAAATTAAGTAGGACGTTGGTATGGTAGGCCACCGGTGTAGTGTGTACCTGTTTGGCAATGGATTCCATTATTTGGTCTTCTGTAAGATTATTGCTCCCATTTTGCCTTGCAACAAATGCCATTGGTAATTGTCCTACTTCTTCATCTGGGTACCTATGTAAAAAAAATATGGAATAGATTTGAATCTCATAAACATGAGATGTTGGGAAGAAACAATTGTGATTCTTGGACAACAAACATTTCAAATTCATGCTATTCGTATACTTCCTCCGATCGTAACGATGTAGGTTTGTCCTAACTCCTAATAGTCAAACATTGTCAACTTTGGCGCCATTAATATATTTTTTATGTGGATTGACAACACGAGGTTAACATTATTAAATTCACTACGAAATAGTTTCATGTAATATATACTCCCCCATCCCAAAAAAAAAGAATTTGAGTTGTAAATCAATCATAAGTTTGACCAAATATATAAAAAACACTAATATTCATGATACATATATGTAATAAGTATTATTAGATTTATTATCATGGAATATTTTTTCATAACAAACCTATCTAGATATACAAATATTGGTACTATTTTCTATAAACCTAGTCAAACTTGAGATTGACTGACTCCTCAAAAAACGAGATTTACTTTTGAGATGGAGGGGATGACTTCTTTTCCTCTAAGCCAATATATTTTTTTACGTATATTCGCTAGTCAAAGATGCAAAAGTTTGACTTAGGACAAATCTATATTGATTTATCTTGTGATTTGAGGAACTAGTAAATAAATTTTCAATACATGGAGATATATGGTATAATTGGGTATATTTATACATTGAAATTATGCCAAACTATCATATAAATGTTTTGTTGCAATTATAAATTGGTAGATTAGAAAAAGGGGCACAACTTATCAGTATGAAATAATATAAATAGTTCTATATGTTTCATTTATATATATTTATTGTTTTCTAATTTGATATTTTTTGTTGCCATCATAATTATTAGTGGTTAACGATTTTATAAGCTTTTAAGAAAATGCCAAAATACTATATGCTTATTAGGATAGTATGGAATTCAACCATTGTTGAAACAATGTTTCATTGAAATAAACAATATATAGATCTTTTTCTTATCTATTTTCAAGAAAACATACGAGATAACTGCAGCATCCAATATCCCAGGGATCAAATGCAACACATCCTCCAACTCTGCTGGTGCAACCTATGTGTCAAATAAAAGGATTGCATGTTAAGGCATGAAATTTGGTAATGGATGTAGCAGTGAAACTAATAAGTCACTAAAAGCTAAACAAGTCAAATACCTGATACGCCTTGTACTTAATTATATCCTTTAGTCTATCAACAACGTAAAGGAGGCCATCCTCATCAGAAGAGCAGAGGTCGCCAGTTTTAAGCCAGCCATCAGAGTCAAATGCTTGATTGCTTGTTTCATCACCACCAACATATCCTATGATTGGTAAACAATACATTTTCATGGAGCTAAAAGTGGCAACCATTCATTACTTTGAGACTTGTAACAAAAAGTACTGATTTATATTATTTTACTACTTTATTTTTAATTACTTTGATGATTGTTGTTGTTTGCTATGAACTGCATCAATTGTTAAATAATCTAACAGTAACAATTTTGTCCAATGCTACTATTTTCTCTATGTTGAAATTTGCCTTTGTAATTTTTGCTTATGTGTACTATGTTATACTGGACCACTAAGTAGATATGATATTGTATCAATTAAATTATCTCTTAAATTAAGTGTTTTTTCTTTTGATCTCTCAATAATGTTGTGCAATGATCAAACAAGCATTTGTTAGCATTTTGAAGGAGTGTGGTTCGTTTGACAAATTCCTACCTCTATTTGAGGTGTTTGGGTTTTGCAAAAAAAGCATCAGGAAATAGAATAATTGTGAATTCCAATGGGTTAAAATATATCCTTTACTTCCATTTTTTATTTGCAATTTGGACATTTCCGTGGGGAATGATTGAGGAAATGCATGAATGTGACAACTTTAGTATCTTACTGTTACTACTTGGAGACTTTCAAAGGAACCTTCACATTATATATGAGACTTGTTAGAACAAATTATTTCTTAGAAATGCTCACAAAAATAAGAAAGATATATCTATCAATTTAGTATAATTTAGTCACCATTGATAATAATAGCCATTGGATCTATTATGTTTTCTTAAAAATCATCCACCTCTAAAATTATGACAAATAACATAATGCGAGCCCCATAAATATGCATCAAAATTATCTAACTTTGTCATTATAAAACATGATATAAACTAACACCTACATCTCATCTTAAATCCAAATTACTCTGCCACTATTATGATATATATAATCTAAGTAACCCCTTACATTCACATCTAGGTTCCCTAATTCACCATTATTGTTAAAATAAAACTAAAATAATCCTTCAAATTTACATTCAAATCACCAACATTTGTTATTATGAAAACAATTTATGCATAAAAAGTTTATTTCTAAATTATTCACTTTTGTTATAAGATATAAATTATCCACTTTTGCATCATATAAGATATATAAACTACTTATAATTTTGAATAAATATGACTTATTTATATTTATATTGATAATATAATTGAAGTCACTCTATTTTTTTTTCTAAAAGTACTACTCCAATGCCAATCTTAAGCAACGTACCATCATAACAATTAAGAGTGCAGTCTAAGACCTAAAATCCCTATTTTTAATAAAATATAGAAGGAGGGTTTAAATAAAAGGTATAATAAATACAATAGTTTTAACTAACATGTGAGATCAAAGTTTTAAATTCAAAATCTAGATCCATAGCTTAACAAGATATGGTGAGATCAAAGTTTAAAATTCAAAATCTAGATCCTTAGCTTAACAAGATATGGGCTACAATAAGAACCACCAAAATTTAAATTTGGCTTTCAACTAAATGCATACTGTAAACACCATGAGGGCAATGTAGATGGAGAAACATATGGGAAACAACATAGAGTAATTGATAGGTTCATACAACTATTAGAGATTACAGAGTATATAGTGGTATTACATTAGAAAATAACACATATCAAGAGTGTGTGCACGGATAGATAAGTAATGTTGACTTATTATTCTAGGTACTAAACATGGACGTCATACTTATCTACTAAGATTCAAACCCATGTAGGAGCAAGGGTTGGTAGACTGTCATGAGATAAATACAACAACAAAATTGTTATTTTTATAATTTTATTAATGGTATTAAATAAGTTTTCATGAGATAAATACAACATCCAATTGATATTTTTATATTCCTCCAATGTCTTTAGCGAGTATATATATTCAATCTTACAATGATCCGAGGTGCCTTGTCTTCAGTTTAGTTGTATTTTTATTTGTTGACTCTCTATTGGACTTGGAAAAAGATGTTGTATGGAATCTTTTTCTTGCGTCTTTGTAATAAAAAATTATTGGATATATAGGTAATATGTATGTAAGTAAATTATAAGTTTTGATATAGTACCTAGCATGACACTTGGGCCTCGGATACATAATTCGCCTTGTTCATTGGTTGATAAGAGTTCACCACTAATAATGTCAACAACTTTGGCTTCAACACCGCTACATAGCCGACCTGTTGATTTTATACGATGACATTCCTCACGACAGACCATGTTTGATATCACACCACCCTCAGTTGAGCCTAGTGCCTGTAGTCCGTAAATAAACCCATCAAAGATACTACAGGAGTAGTACATTGTATCATGGCCATATTTTGCTCGAGAACCAAACAAGTGAAACAATAGTGTCTGAATCTGGGGCTAAAGTTAGATCGGACGTTTGGATGTTAATTATGAGGACTAAACATGAACTAATTATAAAACTAATTATATAGGAGTAGACTAATTAGCAAGACGAATATATTAAGACTAAGTAATTCATAATTAGCAAATGTTTACCGTAGTACCAAATTATCAAATCATGAACTAATTAGACTTAATAGATTCGTCTCGCAAATTAACCTAAATCTATGTAATTAGTTTTATATTTAACCTATATTTAATATTTCTAATTAGTATCAAATATTCGACGTCACGGGGCTAAATTTTTGAGCAAACAAACACCCCCGGTGATTCACGATGGGCACGTGTATAATGTTGCTCACTGGCCACGAGATCTCTCTGTGGTGTGATTGATGTTGATGGAACCAAACGAAGATGCAAGTTGCCCGTCTGACGCGGACCTCTAAAATTCATAATTTTATACAGGCAAAAGTGGATGGCATTGGCAGAGATGACGAGGACTACTCACTCAGGGGCTGTTTGGATACTATCCTGGACACAGACTGCCTGGTCTGGATGCTTCCTGGATGCTGCCTGTACCGCGTTTGCTTGCAGTCCTGTATCCTTGCCTGGTCCAGGCATTCCAGGCACACAAAAACGATCGCCTGGCCACAGGCAACGTTGCCTGCTTAGATTTCTTCACAGTTAACGAAGATCAAATTGTCAGACAGATATTTTAAACCAAACAACGTATCTGTGATATAGCCTGAGCAGGCAAACCATGGTGACTCAACAGGCAACATCCAGTCAGTCATTTTTCTCAGGCAACAGCTCCAAGGTTCCATCCAAACTAGCCCTCAATCCGTGGTCACGATTTACGTGTCAATAACCTTGACTCGATTTATAGAAAATATATACAACATTTCTATCTCTAAATAAATTTATTAAAAAACTATATTTAGATATCTATCTAATGGTACTAATTATGTATTATAAATATGAATATTTTTTAATATATATTTAGTCAATTTTGTTTCTGGGGAAGCGAAAACGACGGACATTTACTGACTGCGGGAGTACCTAAAAAACAGCTCGACGTCGGGGAACCTTTCATGGAACGCCGACGCCGCGGCGGTGCTCAGCGGCGCACCGCCACAGACGATCCGAACAAGGTCCGGGAACCCCTCCGGTCCGACGCCGCCTCCCCGCGCCGCCATGGCCGCCACGACAGGCGGCGCGACGAACATCTGCGTGGCCCTGCACCTCGAGGCGGCCTCCAGCACGGCTGCCGCGCCGCAGCGGGTGGCGGTGACCACGACCGTGGTATCGGCCATCAGCACCCCGCGCATGAGCATGTGGAAGCTGTACGAGTGGAACATGGGCACGCCGAGGAGCGTGACGACCGCGGGACCTCCGGCAACGCGCGGCCACGCCGAGCGGTACTGCAGCGCGGACGCGATGAGGCGCCGGTGCGACTGCGCCACCGCCTTAGTTCGCCCCGTCGTGCCCGACGAGTAGCCGATAGCTGCCACGTCGGACTGCCGCACCACCTCGACCGGCGGTGGCGGCACGCCTGCGGCGAACCCCGGTTCGTCGTGGCCGTGGAGGAAGGACTGGAACTGTGGCGAGTCCAGCAGGATGACGGATGCCTTTTTCTTCCCTGACGCAGGGACTTTGCTGACGGTTGCTCCGGTGGCGAAGATGACGGACGGGTCGCACAGGGCTACCGCGCGGGCGACGTCGGCGGGCGCGGACACCGGGCTGAGCGGCGAGACGACGGCGCCAAGGGACAGCAGCGCGAGGTACAGCACGGGGACGTCCAGGCTGGGCGGCGCGAGCTCGAGCGCGACGTCGCCCCTGGCGACGCCGAGCGGCGCGCCGCGGCGAGGGAGCGGACGCGGGCGAGGAGCGCCGGGAACGAGAGCGCGGCGCCCGTGGACGCGTCGACGAAGGCCGGGTGCGCGGGGAGCGGGCGCGGGAGGCGCGACCAGGCGAAGGACGGGAAGGAGACGGCCGCGTCGTCGTCCTCCGGTGGGAGCGGGATCGGTGGGCGCAGGCTGCGGAACGTCCTCGTGCTCGGGCAGAAGCCGCTCCGCGGATCCATGGATGGATGGATGAGACGCGTGCGCTTGCCGCTGCGGTGTTGCTGGTGACCACGCTCGCTCGCTTCCGAGACGACAGCGGTCAGCTTGTGGCGGCAAATGGGACTCTGCACGACTGCACGTATACGTACTTGCGCATTTTGCGTGTGCTTGGAATTTGGGTTTGGGTGATTGTCACGTGGATTTGCATTATTGCGATGTCACCGGCCACCGCCCACGCCCACTTAGCTATATATAAATATATGTAAGGAAGATGATCGTGCCGCGTGATTATGCAGAGAGAGTACGTACGTATACGAATGGCCGTGAAGCATGCACGTACGGTATGAGACACCGACGGGGCACCTACTAGGGCCATGTTCACTTTGCAAATTTTTTCAACTCGATGAATAGTATTATTTTCGTTTTATTTGGTAAATATTGTCCAATCGTGGATCAACTAGGCTCAAAAGATTATCTCGTGATTTCCAACTAAACTGTGTAATTAGTTATTTTTTTACCTACATTTAATACTCCATGCAAACGGCTAAATATTGATGTGATGGAGAGAGAGTGAAAAAACTTGGAATTTAGATGGCATCTAAACAAGGCCTAGGCTACTAACTTCATTCCCGATACCAACTTTCCGGCGAAGGTCAGCTTCTGTATTATTTCTAAATCATCCTAACTATTTTTTATCATAGTCTGCACCACTATTTCAACAGTACTTTTCAGTGAACAAATAGTGTTTTTCTCTCACAACAAATCAGCATAAGCCAAATTTCAGCAAAACAAACAGAGTTTATTCTTTCTCTCTCTTTTACATTTGCATCAGGAACCTTGTTCTATTTCTTTTTTTCCCCACATCCTTCCACCTCTAGATTGGCCAATCGATACGTGCGTGTATATTTCCGTGTGGTTGGGTCTATTTTCTTAAGTGCTGAAAGATTGGGAGTTGCGATAGGAAGTTGTTGGAGAATTTTTTTTTCAATCTTGCTAAAAAGTTATCATTGGGAGTGAGTTTTGGAAAATCTTGGTCTTGGAGATGCTTTTAGTATCTGAAAGGCAACGGTGGGTTTATACCTTTGTGATAGGCAGATGTTTGGGCCAAACGGTGGGCCAATGATGGCTCGAACGGGGGCTTATGGTTCTGTTAGTTCGCCTGGGTAATCGGGACTGGTTCGTATGAGTTCCGACAGGCGAGAAGAGGTCGGTCTTGTAATTGCAGTTTGCTGTGTTTGGTTCTATTTCCTAGCAGAGACAGGCTAGATAGGGATCTTATTTGTTTGTTTACCTGTGCATGTAGTTATGGTCACCCTAGAGTGGTATGCGGTAGACTTACCACCAGGCAGTTTCTCGGAAGCCTTCTTAGACCGTCTCCAACGGCAAGTACGCAAACGCGAGACCTATTTCATGATTTGAGTCCCGTACAGAGAAAGGGTCACGGACCCAAAACCTTCCTTCTCCAACAGCGAAACCAAATCCGGTGCCGCTTGCTCCTCCATCTTCGTCTTCGCCGCGGCCGGGCACCGAGCTGCGAGCTTCGGCGCGAGATCCGACGAGGCGCGCGGCCCCTTCGCGTGGACGAGCCCCTCCACTGAAGAACAACGATGCTGCAAAGAAAGAACAGAAAAGACAACGCACGAACCGAAGAACAAACAGAGAACGACGGACACAAAATCTACCAAAAATCGATCAAATCACAATGATTCGTTCCCGAACTTTGCACATGCCATCACAAAGGAAGTTGTCGAGCTACTCCTAGAAGATCATGGCTCAAACCAACCTCAATCTCTGAGAAAAACAGATCATGGCCAAGAACACAAAAAAGTTCCAAAAAACGAAATTCAAAACTCAAGCCGAATTTGTGAGGGATTTGGAGGGGGATCATATCAAAGATGCTCCCTAAGGTCCTAGCAACATTTCCCCTCAACCAATTCCATGAGATCCGGGCTCAAACACGAAGAACAAAAAATCCCCTAAAAAGGGCTCCGAAAATAGGAAAAAGAAAAACGCACGGGAATCCAAGATTTAGCACGAAATTAGAGAACAAGCACAGCTAAATCACGAAGGACGAGGCCGTCATGCACACCGAGCCCTGATAAGCAAGCAGCCGTAAGTGCAAAGAATGGCCGTCGTGCTCATTCATCCGAACTTCACTGCTAGTAGTACTCCTGCTAATGCTTGGCGAGCGCGCTAGCCGTGGGCCGCGGGCCACACCGTCGCGTCGGGGGCAAGCGAGCGTGCGGGCCACGCCGCCGCGCCGGGGCAGGCGAGTGCGTGCTGCTGGTCGCGCCGCTGCCGCTGCCACTCCGTGCCGCGGGCCGCGCCACCGCCTGCTGCTGCTGTGTTGCGCCGCCGCCTGCCTACCACCGGAGAGAGAGATGAACTCACACGGCTACAGGGAGGGGGCGCCGCGCGAGCCACATCTGTCCCCACCGCGAGCGGCACTTCGACATCCGGCTCCAGAGATTTGTGTCGTCTCTCCGTCGAGACGCTTATTTGCGTTTCGGTTCGGCTCGTACGCAAAATGCATTGTCTGTTTGGGTCTGCTGTTGGAGCGTGTTTTCGGTAGCTAAAAACACTATGAATGATCTATTTTAGGTTTGGGTTGTGTTGCTGGAGACAGTCTTAGGGAAGATTTATGTAGAAAAGCAGAGTCAGAACGAGTAGGTAGGAAGTGTAACGTTGAGATCTCTCCCTTGACCCTTCTCCCTCCGGGTTCCTTAGTTTGATAGGAGCCATGGAGATTGCGTCTCACCTCGACGAAGTTGGGCTTTCTCTTCTTGCAAACATTTTTACAAACAGGTTGAAGACACGTGTCGTTCCATGGTGGTCGAGACCTTCACACTGCGTCCGCATGCTCGCTCTTTCTTCTCTCTGTGCTGCGCGCGCGGGTGGGAATGGCGGCGACTGTTGCGGGACCGAGCCCGCCGGCACCGACGCCAGCGGCAGCGAGGTGGTGGACAATAAAGGCAGCGCGCGCGATGCTCCCCATGCGCTCATGGCTAGGTATGGTGTCGCCTGTGGCGAGACCCAGCCCACCGGCACCGCCGCCGATGGCCGCTGTTTACAAGGTGTCCCAGCCGGCGATGCCGCCTCCCGTCGTGCAGGGCGTCAGGGGCGGGAAGACGTGCGGTGGCTAACTGAGGACGGCCGGCGATGGAAGGCCGTGGCATTGGACCCGACAGAGATGCGCCCTGCGTTCGCGTCGTCGAGAGGAGCGGTGGGTGAGAGAAGATTCAGGAGGTGATGGAAACAGCCGCCGCTGCATGGAGCAGACCAGGCCAGAGAGAAATGAAGCTTGATTTCTTTTTTTTTTAATGCTGACTCGCGGGTGCTTTAAGCACTGCGTTGCCCAGGCCCAGACGCGTCCAGGCAAATAAACATGGGCCGGTGTAGGTGGCGGGCCTGTCCGAGAAGACCATAAACACGCCCTATGTCACGAGGACGCGCGGCCATCACTCTTTCGCTCTCTCCCCAAGTGTCAAAAAAAAAAAATGCTGAGAGCCCTAGGCGACGAGGAACGGGGAACAACAAACGGTCGGCGGTCGGCATCTGCCGGCGGAGGCTTGTCAGAGGCAAGGCGCAAGACGCTGCTTTACTGAGGAGCCTTAAGTTTATTGAGGCACCGACGAGAGTACGGAGCCACCACCAAGCCCGCCGACGGCCCACCCCTACCAGTCTTCCACAACGATTTGTTGAAAACGTGAGTATTTTCGCGTGGTTTTCGTCAGTTTTTCTTACAATTAAGGGGTTTCTATCTTGTGAATCGGTGTTATTTACACCCTAATAGTGCTAGGGAGCAGTAGGACACAGAGATTCTGGGTTCTGGTTTTATTGAGTTCAAGCTTGACTACGAGCAAACCCAGCACCTCGCCACTGGGGACTTCGTGAGCTTCGATAACTTCTCTGCTGGGGGTTACTTGTGGAGGATTAACTGCTACCCCCGCGGGGGCGACATAAACGGCAACAACGAGCACTTATCTCTCTACCTGGAGCTTGTGAGCAAATCGAAGAAGTTCAAAGCCATCTTTGATGCTTTCTTGGTGGGCAGAGATGGCAAGCTATGTTCTCCCAATGATAGGTGCTTGGACACTTTGTAGCTAGTAGAGAAGGACACTTTCCAGCTAGTAGAGACAGAGTGGGGATGGGATCAGTTCATGAAGCGAAGTGATCTTGAGTTGTATGTGATGAATGACATGGTCACAATTGTGTGCGGGGTCATAGTTATGCATGACAGTACCTTGCCTGTGCTGCCGCCATCCAATTTACCCAAGCCACTTGGGTCACCTGCTGGATTGCACTTTGGGAACAGACATGTCATTCATCGTGGGCGGTGAGACGTTCCATGCTCACCGTGCTGTGCTTGCAGCTCGATCACCAGTCTTCAGTGCGGAGCTCTTTGGCCCAATGGCTGACGCCACAATGCCATCCATCACGCTGCAGGACATTCACCCTGCAGCATTCAAAGTTATGCTTCGGTTCATGTACACAGATGCCTTGCCTCCAGATGATGAGCTTGGATATTCTCCTGCTGATATGTTGCAGCATTTGCTTGCCGTGGCTGACAGATTTGCACTGGACCGTCTGAAGGTTTTATGTGAACTGAAGTTATGGGACAACACCTCTGTGAAGACAGTTGCTTCTGTTTTAGCTTGCGCTGAGACATACAACTGTCCAAAGTTGAAGAGAAAGTGCATAAACATTTTTGCTGTGTAGGAAAATTTCTACAAGGCAGTGTTCACAGATGGTTTCGCCATGTTGTTGAAGAAATTCCCTGCTCTTGCTGCTGAGCTGAGAAAAAGAGGGAGGGGAAGGGGCATATCCGGATATAAAACACTTAAATTTCCAATATATATAGTTCAGAAGTTCGACTATATATTTATTGAAGTATTTTGGAATGACAGTGAGCATATCTTGATTCCTTTGGAGCATATTAGAATATGAAGCACTTGATGAACAGAGAGCATGTTCTTATAGTTATACTTCTTGCATTGTTGCACGAAGTTGCTGCCAACTG